TTCAATTACGCGACGTCCGGCCGAAGAAGTCGATCCCTTCAACGACCGCGGTAAATTCTCCCTAATTGACGCTAGGATCGTAGACAAAAAGTGGACAATTTTGAAAGAGGAGACACGATTGTAGTAATTTCGCCCTAATACGAGCTCAAAAATGGACATTTTGGGAAAAGGAATTTATTTATATTTATATATATTTTATTTATTATATATTATATAATATAATTATTATATATTTATTTATTTATATTTATTATATTACATAATATATAATATTATATTATAATTTTATATTATATTATATATTTTATTTATTATATATTATATAATATTATATTATATTTATATACATTTTTATATTTTATATCGGTTCCAAAATATTCCCAGCATCGAATTTTGTAATGACCTTTCAATAATTATGTTCGCAAAAGCATTGAAACCACTGAAACCTGAGATCAACTGTATAATCTACAGGATATCCCAAAATTATGGTATTTCCGTTAAATGAGGGATTCCTGAGGTGATTTGAAGCAACTTTTTCCTTTACAAAATTTTTCTCCGACGCTTCCTTAATGAATTATTAACGAAAAACCCTGACCAATGAGGGGCGAGGTCAGCTAGCGCGAGACGGCAGAGTCAATGGGCGGAACCGCGCTTCGTGCGCTGGTTGGCTCGGCCGCCGAGCGCCAGCCCTAGCTTGCCGCTCATTGGTCAGTGTTTTTCGTTAATAACTCGTTAACGGTGCCTCGGAGAACATTTTTGTAAAGGAAAAAGTTGCTTCAAATGATCTCAGGAACCTCTCACTTCCCGGAAATACCATAATTTTGGGATACTCTGTAGACAGCAAAACACAAAACCATTGCAATCTTGTTTAACATAATTGTATATTATTTGTGTTGCGAACCGGTTCATCTTTGTACTCCCTTTAAAAAATTATTAACATACTCAAACGTCGAAAATTAATTACTTCCGAAGCTACGATTTTTCTCCCGAATGCCCGTAAGATCGCGTCACCGCGCGGCGCGGTATTTTCCAGAGCGAAGGGCGTAACTGGAAACTGTAAAATCGAACAGGAGGTTGTAACAAGCGAAACGAAAAATCCATGAAATTTTACGTCCGACACCTAAGTACGATTAAGTAGCGTTCTTGTTTCCTTTGAAGCTTCGTTGGCCGGAAGTTTTACGATTCGGCCTTTACGATTCGAATATTAGCAGAACCGGGATGACGCGTTGCGAGAGATTACAAATGGCATGGATTTCAGACAATTGTGTTCGGAAGTGATTCAAGCCGGAACAATGTGTTCCGACCAACGCGTGTTACATTCTTTTATTTAATATTTTCCCGCGGTACGGCTCGGCGGTCGCGCGGAACTAAATTGGAAAGTTGCGAACGCAGTTCCAGCGCGAATTTCTCATTTCTTGCGAAATTTCCGACGCGCCTGTAGGTCTCCCTTTACAGCAACTCGTCTCTTTATTTTTCAAAGACCGCACGCGTAGCCCGTTCTCTTTGGTTCCACCGTTTTATCTCGCGCAAGCTCTCTCGCTGTCCCCTCGCCCCTTTGCGTCGTCGCGAAATGCAATTTGCCGCGCTAACAGCTCCGACGCTCTGACGGACACAGCTTTTTGATATCAGGGTAATCATTAACCACCCAAGAACAACACGGTACAAGCCGCTGCGGTCCACGAGGATACCCCATTCTAGCCCCTCTAATTATTAAAGGCGGTCGGCCTTGTTCTCCCTTTCGTATCAGCTTACTTCTTTCGCGGACGATTCATTAGGGGACTGGACTCTCCTCGAATGAAACGAACATGCGGTAGAACTCGGCGAAACACCCGATTCTTCGGGTCTATTTCGACCCGAAATATTATATTTTATACTTTTATCCGAAATTATCGCATAGATTACAGTAAACTCTCCCTAATTAATTAGACGCTAAGATTGTACAAAAAGATGGACGGATGATGAGATGCGGTTACCGATTGTCAACCACTATGAACAACTATATAACAATTATAAAAATATATCGTATCTCCACTTTCTAAATTGTCCATTTTTGTGCACAGTCTGAGCGTCAATTAGGGTTAAATATTAATTAATATTAATATATACATATTATATTATATAATAATATCAGTATTAATGT